CTATTTCTTCCTTTAGATCTGTTAATATTGCTTTATATATTTAGGTGCTCTTATGTTGGTGAATAAATATTTGCAAATGTTATATTCTCTTGTTGGAGTGACACGTTTATCATTATATAATGGCCTTCTTTGTCTCTTATTACAGTCTTTGTCTTAAAGTCTGTTTTGTATGATAAAAGTATAGCTACTCATGTTTTCTTTTGGTTTTTATTTGTGTGGAATATCCTTTTCTATCCTTTCACTTTCAGTCTGTATGTCCGTAAAGCTGAAGTGAGTCTCTTGTAGGCAGCATATAGATGGGTGTTGTTTTTTTAATCCATCCAACCAGTCTATGCCTTTTAATTGGAGAATTTAATCCATTGACATTTAAAGTTATCATTGATAAATTTATTGCCATTTTAAAATTGTTTTCTGGCTGTTTTATAATTCCTTTGTTCCTTTCTTCTTTTACTCTTCTCCTTTGTGATTTCATGATTTTCTGTAATAAGATGCTTATATTCTTTTCTCGCTGTTTTTTTGTGTATCTCCTATAGATTTTTGCTTTGTGTTTATCATGAGGCTTACATAAAACATCTTATAACAGTTTGTCTCAAGTTGATAACACCTTAAGCTCAAACACATTTTATTTTATTAAGACAAGCAAGGTGGTGTGGGGAGGGCAAAGAGAGAGGGAGAAAGAATCCCAGGCTTCACTCTGTCAGTACAGAGCCCAGTGCAGAGCTTGAACTCTCAAAACATAAGATCATGACCTGAGCCGAAATCAAGAGTTGGATACTTAACCTACTGAACCATGCAAGCACCCCTTAAACACACTTTAAAGCTCTACATTAGGGATGCCTGGCTGACTCAGGTGGTAAAGCATGGGACTCTTAAATTTGGGGTCATGAGTTTGAGCCCCACATGGAGTGTAAAGATTATTTAAATTAGAAAAAAAAAACTTTTAGGGGCACTTGGGTGGCTCAGTGAGTTAGGCATCTGACTTTGGCTCAGGTCATGATCTCACAGTTTATAAGTTCAAGCCTTGCATCGGGCTCTGTACTGACACCTCGGAACCTGGAGCCTGCTTTGGATTCTGTGTCTCCTTCTCTCTCTGGCCCTCCCCCTCTCAAAAATAACAAACTTTTTTTTTTTTTAACTTCTAAATCTCTTAAGTTGTTTTCAAAATAAATATTCTTTGCTTTTATGAAATATCTTTATGTAATGTATTCAGTTTGTACTATTATAGAATTTTACCCTAATATTCAATTTAAATAGAAATTCCAGTGATCATCTCTGATGTAATGCAAAAGCTGTAAATTTGATATTAAAACATTTCATTTTCAATAGTAGTTGCACAAGTCTGTTCTGATCACTATTTTGATAAATGTACTACTGTTGCAATCACTTCATTTCATCAAGTTAATATCCCTACTTTTGCTTATAATTCTAGAGTTTATTTCATTAGTCTTCATCTCATAAGCATATTTGAGTCCATTATAATTCAAAAACAATAGATGATCTATGACTCTTTAAAACAGACCTCTTTTATTTTTTTTTTTTAATTTTTTTTTCAACGTTTTATTTATTTTTGGGACAGAGAGAGACAGAGCATGAACGGGGGAGGGGCAGAGAGAGAGGGAGACACAGAATCGGAAACAGGCTCCAGGCTCTGAGCCATCAGCCCAGAGCCTGACGCGGGGCTCGAACTCACGGACCGCGAGATCGTGACCTGGCTGAA